GATGAAATTATCGGTTGTAGTAGCTTCGTCTAAACCGATGCTTTTAGTTTGTCTGTCAGCGGTCGGTAGTCGCCTTTTCCTTTTTTCAGCTCTCTTGGAATCCGATAATGCTGATTTTCACAATGCTTAATGAAGTTCCCCGTCATCCAACATCCTCCTACTTCTTTCGTTACCTTAAGTCGCTTCGTGTTTTGATCTGATGCACAAATTGGACACAATACTTCTCCTACTAATTTTCCACCTGTGTCGCTGAACACTTCCGCCTTCAAAAAATTCATTTTTGATACAAACGTTTGATATCGTCTATCATCGATTTCCCTGTAAAAACAAAAGGATTAAATTTATTGAAAAGGAAAACAATGTTATTGAATGATGGGAACCTCATTCACCCCATAGAAAAGTTCAAAAAAATACCATTAACTAAGTGCACCACTCTAAAAATAAAACATATTGTAATCATCGAATAAACCAACAATATGGTCCGCATTGATTCCCTCCTCCGCATTGCGGGAATCATCTTTATCACTATTGAGTATCTAATTACGGGAGAAGGGACTCGAAGTTCAATTTGATCTTGCTCAACAGTTCGTTAGTATCAGTATTCATCCCTTCACTGGGTTCGCTCAAAAAACTGCTGCGAGTGGGCGCGGGTTGTCTTTCTTTGCCCTGATAAGCCATCTTGACATATTTTTTTTGCACCGTTTGTTGCAAACAACTGGCACAATCGCATTATGCATGATTTTTCTCCGCTGAGGAACTTGAACTTCTCGGGGCTGTCACTGAAGTCCCCATATAGTTCTTCATAGTTGACGTTGGGTCGTTTCTTGAATGACTCTGCCATTGTCCTCATATCTTCTTCCAATTCGGGTATAACTTCAGGCTTCAAAAGCTCTATGGTCAAGCTACCTGTATATGCCAGGATGTCCAACACCTTCTGCATCTTCGCAGGAACCTGACCAGAGTCTCGTTGAACTGCATCCCAAAACGGTGCCTGCAAATAACATATTAAATAAAATGAGGAACATGAGTGGTCAATTGCATTATACAAAATCAACAATTTGCTAATCAACATAGTATCATAGCAATGTAAAGTGAATATACATTTTACTTACCGTACAGGTGACGAACTCTTCGGTAAACATTTTGCACAATACACTTCGAAATCATAACATTTGACATCGTTATGAAAAATAATTGCACTAGCAACCGAAGTTATAATCAAGACTTACTATGATCAAAATCACATCAAGAGAAAAAGTATTTAAAAATACTCAAAAATACTTAAGAGAGATTTGAAAATACTTATTGAGTATTAGAGCAAAAGTTTAGAGTGGGATGCCCCTAGGCGTACCCCCTTCTCTCCAAAATTAATTTTTGTGCTAAAAACCATATTTTTTGCAGTGGGATCTGCTCGAGGCGTTGCTGTTTCTTTTATGCTTCTCTCACTCGCTCCAACGGAAAACGCAGTCACGCCCGTCACGGTAGTTTCGTTGTAATACTTAGGCCGTTCGCAATGCTGTTGTATTTTATAAGGACTGTTTCAATTTGAAACTAGAACAGAAACGCACCTCTCGCAATGCTGAGTTGCAGTTTCATTATTCGAGCACTATTTTGCACCAGATTTGCAACTGCTCGACTATTCTGTTTTATTTCTGAGCGAGTTTAAAACACGAATGGAACTCTGTTTCAAATTTCTTTGGATTTATTTAAAGATGTTTCGAAGAGCTTCACAAAAAAAACGGAGAGCTTCATAGAGAATAGTAAAGTTTATGGAACATGATGATTACAAACATCTTTTAGAACTGTGCGTTGCGCTGATCGTGTTGTAGTTTTATTTTTGACAGTTTCAAATTATAGAATTGTCGCGTAGTTTAAAACAATTTTGAAACTCAGCATTGCGAACGGCCTTAGCTCTCATTTTTGTTCTGTTAGCCATCAACTCCATCAAAATGAAATCAATTTGAGTTATCAGGAATAATGAAAACAACATAATTCTTGTTTTCATTTTGTTCTCACCCTCTGCTCGGGAACCTATCAAATTTCCATCGACAATTAATCATGTTATGGTGTTTTCGACAGCATTCACAACCAGAGGACCAACCGCTTTCGGATGCATATGGAGCTGGTAGTAAACGATTTGAGATTGTATGGGGATTTACAGTATTAATTGAATATTTCCAATATAAGCATGTATGTTAAATACAAGAAAAGTGCCCGAGCACATTAAAATGGTACAAATACAAGTACTCGTAAACATTTTACTTGCATTGAAAATGTATTTCGTAAGAAATTGCGGATTTTCTGATATTCTCCATACTGCAAAAATGATTTTACCAGCACTGGCGGGGCGACATCTCTCGACTTTTCGGTGTAAGTATCACACAAATGATGTAATTAATTGTATTCATCTACATTAAAAATATCAAATAGTAATGAACTCGTGCACTTTTTTGCATTTAAAACTGCTTATCAGAAAGATAATGAATAGAAACTAAAATCTCCATACATTTTCAAACGGCTTCATATCACTCTTATAAATAAGTACGGACGATATCACAAATGGCACAATTATATCTCGTATGGTTAGTACGATAGCCCGAATAGGTGGTTAAGCACTTTTTATGGTTATTTTGTATGCACTGTATTTGTAAAACAACAAAACATGATTAATTAAGAAAAAAATCGTCAATACAGAAAATACAGATTTTTTAATAGAGTGGATACAGATTTTTTATAAAACCACCTGGCAGCTCTGATCGCATGATTGGTGATGTCAGGTGTACTTTGATTTCAAAAGTTGTTTTGCCATGACTAACATCAAAATGTTTCCGAAAGTTGGGTGAACATGAGATTCTCCCTTATGAATAATAAATGACATGATTTGCATTTTTCAAATATTGAATCTTAAATTTAGGATTTAACCACTAACCGCCCAATTAAAAAAAATGAATAATGTATTGTTCAATTTGGAGTTAAATTTCTAAATTTTGGAGTTGAATTTCTAAATTATTTGGTTATTAATATATCATTAAATAGAACAGCAAAAATAATATCGTAGTCCTATGTCAATAATGCAGTCGTGCTTTGGCAACAACCGTCAATTATTTGGTTGTAAAATTACACGACTTCCCTCGAGTATTATTGTACTTGCCAATAAAAATATAAAAATGGTACAGGCTTAGAATTCTCTCAATTAACAACTGTGGACATGCTCAAATGCATTAAGCTGAGAGCCGGCGTAAAGTCTTAGTGGAGACTTACTAATGCCAAATAAGAAGAAGAATGATAATCAAACTTTTTGAATGCATTGCGCCAATATTTTTCTTAACTTTTTCATCGATTTAGCAATGCTAATAAGTAATTTGTTCTATATAATTTATTCTAACTTGCATTTCTTATGATGATCAAACAGATTCTGAAAGTTTGATTTCAATAGCAGTCGGGTTGTTGACCTAATTTCAAGCCATCTAAGCACAACCCGAACTTAAACTCTCTTTTTCGAACGGATATGAACCAAAAAATGGATTGATTCTACTATAGATGACTTTCAAATTTATTTATCTTTCTATACCAACCGTTGGATTTGATAAAGAGTCACAAATTATTGATATATTCTGATGAATGATAGTGGAATACTTGTATAAAGAAAGAGAGATGGATCAGTAATTTCTATTTAGTTAGAGTATTAGGTCAAGACACTGACGAGGTCTGTACATTGTATACGAAATTCGTGTATTTTTCAAGGATAAGCAATTAAGGTAGAGCAATTAAATGGAAATTACTAGTCCTTGTCTCTTTCTTTATTGAGATATTGTTAGTAATCTTACACTGTTTCTTGATTCCAAATACGTTCTACGAATTTCAATTCTGTCCTAATGCATTGAAACGCCATTGTTTAGTTTATTTTTGGTTTTGATTTCGATTTTTAATTTTGCGAGACAGAAGGCCAAATCTCAAGTCTCAAGGCCACATCACGTGAGTGGAACACGGTGATTACGTCAAACTATGATGTCCAAAATGAACAACATGCCCCAAAAATTCTTAGAACGGCTCCCATACACTCTCAATGCTGAATCGTGAGTCCCTCCCTTTTCCCATACTATTGCATGTAAAATAATAACCCAATGCAGGTGAATTGAATATGTCTTAATGAATTAGTTGCAATATGAACAGTTATGACAATATAATATAATAATTGAATAACATTAATGTTTACCTGTTAATAACGATCGAGATTGGTGAAAAGTAAGGGAAGTTGTTAGTTGATTCTCTACCATCACAGAGTTTGGTAATAGCGTGATGGTATATTATTATGATGCTAATTAGAAGAATCATGAGAAGCATTGATCATAGTTATTTAGGACCTAATGCATTGTTCAGCTTGATTTGGTTGAATCATCTGCATTTACCGATTTCGCCAATTTCATATTTACATTGGAAGTATTATTTAAATATAAAAGCAGATTTAATGCCACTTATCAGAATAAATTATCATTAATCCAACCATCTCTAAATCTCATCCCATATCTTCACCACACTGTTTGTTCCATTCGTGAATCAACCAAAATTCAACAAACAGTACGATTTATTGCACGTACTTGACCTTCACTTTCTAATAAACAAATAAATCTGTCATTTGAGAAAATGTAGGCACCGATCGTGGCAATGCATTCTCCTCTCATGCAAATGAACTACTGTAAAGCTTCCAAATTATAAATTTACCAAGCGAAAACATGCTTGCAGTCAACTTCACTCACACTGCATCACTGAATGAACTCATTTGTTTATGAAAATGAACCATGCCGGCAACATATTCCTTATCCTCCTCATCCACCTATTCGTCGGAAAAAGCTTTCCAACTTCATCCCATTCTCCACCAACACCACACTGCTGATGTTGCTGCTGCTGTGTGCGTTCCACCACCCAACTGACTGGTGTGTGAATGAATCGCGCGCCCTTCGTACGTCGTCGTTCAGTTGGGTTAGTTCAACCAACAGGCACCGCTGGCGAGCTTAGTTCCAACATAGATAGCGACGCGTTCGGTTCAAATCTTCCCGCGTGTCGTTCGCCGTCGGTCGGTCGTCGAGCCCCTCCAAAACGGTTTCTCACTTCTTCTTAGCTCAGTGTACAGCAGTGTGATCTTTTCTGTTTGTGGCGTCCTCTTGACTCTGTGTAATTTGTGGCCTTATTGTTGCCTGATAAGTTCGCGATCTGTCTGCTACGGTGAAAACAATTTTTGCTTCATTCATCGGACGAAATTTCCCCTAATTGAAGAAGATAATGCGGTGATCGTCACTTGGCGACGATTCAAGGCACGCTTGGATTTATCGCTAACGATAGACAGCAGAAAATGTCATGGCATCCTAAGGCCTGGGTAAACATTTTCAGGAGATCGTAATTGGCGAATCGAATTGTGAAGAAGTCAACGACTAATGATGGATCATATTTTCGCCAGACGTCGTATTTCCGGAGCCTCGATTTGGATGATCAACAATGACGACGACGACGAGTGATGACTCTTAGGATTATGTTCGTCTTTGCCAGTTTTGGTCAGTCAATGGGATCAAAAAGAAATAATCGACAGGAAATATTCAGTGTCCGTGTGTGAGAGGGAGAGCGTATGTGATTAATTCAACCGCAGCCAGTTCGAATGGAAGAAGATAAAAATTGATTGAGTTTTGTGTTTGGTGGAATCAACGAAGAAGCATGGTTTGCCCGCACTGGGGAAATAATGGATCTAACAAAAGTCACTGATTATCCGGGGCTGGAAGATAAAAAGCAAAGGTGAATAAAAGTGAGTTTGGAGAGATAAATAGAGTTCCATTAGGACGTTACGTGTTTCGAGTTTGTGATGTTGGATTGGAAAGAGACACTCATCTCTAGTTAATTTAGTCGACTAGCCAGTCAAATCCAAGTGGCAACTTTTAATTAATGGATTAAAATTCTAACTCGAGGAGCTCAAAAGTCAACCGGCGGAGCAGAAAAGAGGGGAGTGTTATTCTCGCTGGAAATAAGGTAAGAAAGAAAAAGAATCGAAAACTTGACACTGAAATGTTGTTATGATACTTCTCATCCGGTCAGATTTCGGGCTTTGGTTTCTTCTTTAGTCATTTCGGGTTTTCGGTCGAAGATGAGGGTGTTGGTAGCTTTTTTATGGAGTCTAAAGACGATCGGTCGCTTGGTCGGAAAGTTATAATATCTGCGTGATGGGTGAGGAAAATGGTTATTTATAATTTTTCGATCGTCACACCGACTACCAGGACAACGCAAACTGGTCGCTGGGCGGTAACGGCCAGTTTTTGATTGTCAGGTTGCCAAAAAAAATTAACGCTTGTTTCTAGCGGGTACCATCATAATTTAAATGAACAAAAGCGCTTATTTCGGTTGACGTAAATGGGGAATCTCGTGATTGTTCTCGAGGTTTGTTGCGATGAAATTGACGTAGGTTTGACGGGGTTGATTAATGGGTCAAAGATCGGTGCAACGATGGCGGGCGTTCAGTTGGCGAAAGTATGAAAATAGGATCATGGTTACTTATTTGGCTCCACTTGGAAACGCATTGACGTGCCAAATTGGATCGAGCAGAAAGATGTACTATTTTGAATCAGGAATCTTGAACAAATATATCTGAATATATGTCTTTAGTAATCAATTAGCCTGTATATGTACAATGTGAGGCTTAAAATTGTGTAAAAACTTTCAAAATTTATAAGAACAGCAGCCAAATGGTGTTCCAAAATTGAAAAAAAAAACTGCACCATCAGTCGGCATTTTTAATCCACTCACTCCGACGGGATGATAACACATCTCCTTCACCCTGATTAATGGACTTTCACCGAGAGTGGAAATATCCGCGAAAATGCATCCACCTTTGAATTTTCAACAACTTTTACCTTTCAACCACATGTCGCACTTTGTCACAGTTCGTGACATGCATTTTGAGGCTATCAAGTAACGACCCGACTGATGTTAATTTTGAGTAAAATTACCCGAAGATGGTATTATAATGCAATGGACACGACAATAAAAAAGAAAGTTGAAATTTACCTCACTTTGAATTATCGGATGACTCAACTGACCAAGTCTTTGGCGATTAACCTTTTTGACCACTGGATGAGCCGTACATGAAAATCCATCTCGTAATCAGCAGAAATGTTGTTTACTAGAACCCGACGTGGATTAAATCATCTTTATTATAGTAGCAGCCACGCAAGCTGCAGTTAACCCCTCCGTTGTTTATTTGTCTTCATAATAAATATTTATGTATATTTGCTCTCGTGTACGCACGGCTACGTGTTAGTTTTACGCCAGGTTCCCATTATCACTAAGGACAGGTTCTAGTGGTTCGACTCTTATCAGGAGCTGGACTCATTTGGTCTTCATTTTTTTCCGTCGTTTCTTATCACTTTGATTGTAACTCTATGTACACAACTGAAGGTTGACCAAAAATAAGTGATTATGCCTACGCGCCCTGCCTACTTTATGGGTCAAGTTTTGAAATTCAAAACTCTCAATTGTTCAAAATAAATCAGTACACGAAGCAGGCTGGTGGGAATTGCTTGCCAAATCAAATTCGCGGTAAGACCGAAATGATTGATGTTGGCGTAATCAAAGACTAATGAACTGTCTCCGATTACAGTGTTCCGTTGTTGCATTGGTGTCGGAACCGCGAGGATCGTAAGGTTACGGACCTTGATGGGTGAAACTGAAACCGCAGCAGTGTCAGTTTCCAGCTTGTTTACCGTTAATTGGAAGGTTTCATAAATTTATGATTCACGTTTGAATGTATGAAGTATTTGAAGTTTGAAATTGCTTCCAGTTTCATTTATCCCATAAATAAGCGACAAATAAAATACCATCAGGCTTTAAATGGCCCATTTGTATAATTCATTGCTTCATTAGCTGCGGAACCCCGCTGCCTGCAATGAAAGTATTTAATATTTCACATTTTCTTGTTACGGAAAAATAAATCCTATAAACCTTTCATTCCCTCTCCTAATTAATAATTCACCTTCTCAGGCCGCAGACGATGTGCGCAGCCTGCTTGGATGGTGGGGCAAGAGCGAGTGCTTAGGTTTGACGTTTATTAAATTGATAGTGATACGCCTCACGGCTCATCCCACTTTTTCGAGCTAGACGTGCATGTCTTCAGCCGCCGTGGCGCTGTTGGTTGGCTAAGAGCAAGCTGATTAGAGCACCGGTCTTGTGTGGACAAATAGACGTAGTAGTCGTGGCTGCCGTCGTCGTCGTCGTCGTCGTCTACTTGGATGTGTAGACGTTACGATTCGTTTCGCTTTCCGTTCATTCATTTTCTATCAGGTGGCTAGGAGGTCTGTATGGATCGTTTCCGTGACTACGGGCTATGAGGCATAACAGAGACCCACCTGGACGTCTAGAAATATGAATTTGCGAAGGAAGAAGTGCGGTTGAATGTGTATTTATGGCTGCATTTTCAACAAATTGCGTTCATTTCTTTTGGCAGTCTTACGAACGGTTGCTAAGCTAGGGCATAATTTCCATAGTTTGTTAAAAAGTTACAGCAAATTATTACTGTTCGTGGGGTTCGTGAACTACGTAAACTAGAGTGTCCCAACTGGTGTTTCAACTCCGTTATCTAAATATTCATGCATATTATCTTCCAAATTTGTCCAGATTATAAAATTTCATTTTTTACCTTGCCTGTGATCTCGCAATTATCACACTTATCAAACATTTTCTAAGGTTTGGAAAAATCTTTGTTTTACTTCGTGATTATTCAAATTTGCTCGAGCCTAAAATGTCGAAAAATGGTCTGGAACAATTTTCAAGCTCTAGAGTTTTTTTCAAAGGACAGAAATTTGAAAAATATATGAAAACCGGTAGCTTTAGTATTTAACCATACATCGGGGAAGTCTTTTCTAAGTCCATTAAGTTGTATTCTATTTTTTCCGGGCTTTTAATCTGGAAAAACAAAAAATCCAAGGAAAATATATAAAAAAAAAACTCCTTGCCCAAAATCATAGAATGTTTTCCATGCTTCAGAAGCATTTAATTTAGTCTTGGACTGAACTTGCATTCTATATGTTCAAAATCATTCCAGGCTCGTTGAGCTATCATATATGTAAACACCCCATCAATAAGAACCCGAGTATAGACGATTTTGGTACATACACACAAGCTACTAAACCTGAAATCTAAACCATTATGTAAGAATACTAAGCCCAAACATTAAATAATCTGTCTTTCTGGGCAAGAAATTTGGGGATCGAGTTTTCACCGCAAAAAACTGAATTGGTAGTGTTTACAAGGAAGCGGTTTCCAGCCCAACTGCGTCTAAATCTTTTGGGCAGAGACATTACCCAATCTTTAACCTTCAAATACCTTGGAGTCTGGTTTGATTCAAAATGCACTTGCAGGGTGTCGACTACCTGGAAAAACCTGGAAAGTCAGGGAATGTCAGGGAATTCTATTTATGATCTGGAAAGTCAGGGAATGTCAGGGAATTTTAGTGTAGGTCAGGGAAAAAAATTATGTTGATCACATTGCAAAAAATCATGTGTGGAACTCATAAAAACAATATTTGAAATTTTATCAGTGCATGACGGCAATGTTTTTGGGAAGATCCCGGGCATCAGATCTACTCGCTGCGTTTATGGACGCCCTTGCCGGTTGCTGCAAGTATCCAATTGAAGCTAGAGGAAAAAAAAAGGTGGCGAGAAGCTGATAGATCTGGGAAGCTGTGGGCTGTTTATTTTGCATAATGCATTCAAGGATAGTTTTCGCATTATCAGTTGGGATGTTGTCCAATATTTGCGTGGTATCTACAATATCTTCAAAGATGTACCAGCAAGACGAGCGTTTATCACGATGTATTCTGGATCTACCATATTCCCGTTAAAGTTTTGCGCTCACCGATGGTTGGAAAATAGTGCTGCTGTTCAGAGGCAGGGCTGGTAGCGAGTCACTTTTTAGTGACTTGGTCACTTTTTTCAAGTCAGTTACTAAAAAGTCTCTTTTTTTAAGGCCAAGTCACTAAACTCACTTTTTCTTGTAATAAGTAACTATTTTCAACTTTTTTAGCGTAAATTTATTTCAAGATTGATTATTCTTTACGTTGTGACGTTTAATCGTCTTTCTCTATGTATGGATGTCTATTCATTTTTCTGGATAAAATTACCTCAGTTTTCCAAGTAAGTATGTCCAAAGTCTAAAAATATTCAATGTCTTGAAGTTTCGTATTCCATGTAAAAAATTCAAGCTTCGAGAACATCAAGACAGATCAGAGAATCAAAGAGTCGTTCAAGTAATTTCAAGGAAACATTAGAAACCTTAAAAAAGTTTCGAGAAGCTCAGTGAATTTCGAAAACTTCAGCAAAGCTCCGAGAGAATTCCTGGAAATTTTATGAACATCCGGAAAACGTTAGAATATTTTTAGGTTGTTATATCATGGAGATTTCAAGAAATTAAAAAATGTGAAAATTTAGCTTAGTTGGTTAGAGAACATAAACGAAGTTCCATTAATAAAAAAGTGAGAACTTTCAGCAAGCAGTGATATATTCTAGAAATTCCAGAGAACTAAATTTAGATATTTCTAGATAGTTTAATGATATTCAGCGAAGTTCCGAGTACTTCGAGGATGATCAGATAGCTTCAGAATAATCCCATTAACTTCAGCAAATTTGCAGCAACTTACAAGGAGTTCCGTGGAATTATAGGGTATTCCAAGAATTCTATGATTGATCCTAAAACGTCAGAAGCGTCAGGGAATTATGAATATGTATCAGAAAATTTGCTGGATTATTAAACAAATTTAGAGAACTTCAGGTAAGCATGGATAAGTTCAGGGAAAAGCGAGTGTTAATAATGGTTATAATACTTAAGGAATATTGTCAAAACTACAAGGCAAATTAATTAATTTCAGTAAATTTAAGGGTTCTTAAAAAAACTGATAAATTCAGGGTAGTCTAGATAACTTTAAAGAAATTCAGTAATCGTTTAGACACCAAGAAAGTCTAGACTATTGAAGAAGTTTTAAA